TGCCAGGGGCACCGGACCGCTGGAGGAGTGCAGACCGGCGGGGCGGGATCCAGTCGTCACTGGAGTCGGGTTCGGGGGCTCTGACCTCGACTGGGAAAGGTGGCCGCCCATGTGGGCGCTGGCCCGAGGTTGGGGCTGCTGAGAAGGGCGCGTCGCGAGAGCCCAACCTGGGACGTCTGAGGCGTTGTCTTTCGGGGTGGGGCGAGGTGAGTGGGGTAGGTGTGTGATGGCCCGGGTTTGTGTTTTTCCTGGGACCGGACTCTTCACAAGCCTTTCTGTACCTGTGACTTACTTATTATTAGGAGCCTCACTGCCATCATCGCTGTTCTTTCACACCAAGGGTAAACAGAGGCTTGGGGAAGGGCGTAGGGGAGTTGACCAAAGGAAGAAAGATAGATCCCCTTCCCAAGTCAATGGGGCCACCTGATGGTGATGTTTTAGAAACATCTTGATTTCTGGCCACTGCCTTTGGAGGCTCAGAGAGGCTGGGAGGAGGATGAGCAGCGCGCGCGCACGTGTGTGTGTGTGTGTGTGTGTGTGCGTGCAGAGGTGGGGGGTGGACCTTGTGTGTGTGTGTGTGTGTGTGTGCGTGCACAGATGGGGAGTGGAGGCCTGGTGAGGAGTGGCCCCTGCCCCTGTGAGCCTGATGACCTGGCCCTGCTGTCTGGACTTCCTTGGCCTCCACACATCCTGCCACCTCCCTCCTGGCCCTTCCTGTGGTGGGGAGCCTCACTTCCCTGGCAGGGAGCGGAGTGGGGTGTGGATTGAGGAGCTGCCTCGATGTCCTGGTCCCAGGGGGAGGTAGTCTCATTGCCTCCTGGGTGCTTTCAGGGCCCCTGATGGATCCCTTAAGGTTGGTGGTCCCGTCCACACCAAACAGCAGGGAAACGGGTGTAGAGCGGTGAAGTGACACATCCCGGGAACAAGGTTGGTTCCTGGCTGGGCCAGAATTTGTCCAGATCCGGCCCAGTTTTTTTCCCAGGGGAGAGATAAGAAATGTACACAGTTGCGGCTCCGGGATCAGGGCAGCCAAGCAAGGGTGAGGCAGCTAGGCTCAGCATGTTGGGAGGAGACACTGTGCGTCATCACCACTAGTGTGAAGAGGGCTTCCCAGGCCAATGTCCTGGGATAGGAGGACCTTGTGAGGCAGAGATGGTTTAGGGAAGGGGGCAGAGCATTCGGAGGTGGCTGCAGTGTGGACCAAGGCTGGTGGCCATGTTTGGGGAGTGAGGGAAGGGGCTCGGGTAGGGGTGCCTGCCTTAAAGCTCAAAGAGCTGTGTGGGCTTTGAGTCAGGAAGAGTGGGAAGCAGCGGGTTGTAGAGCTGAGACGTGATCACCATTCACGATGCTCACTGGATTCATCCTGGTCCCATTCAAACCCGAGCCCACCCCAAGCTGGTGTTCTGGGGTCCCTTCTTCATGCCCTCCTCTCTCCGGGCCCATCTCCCCGTTCCCACACCCAAAGCTCAATGATCTGCACAGAGCAAGCGGCATAGCTGCTGAGGATGGGTAATGGCCCAGAGGTGTCAGGGAGCTGGTGATTTCCGGTGGCCCTGAGTCGGGATCCTCTTCCTCCCATTCCCTGTAAGAGCCTCAGCCCCAGCACTGCTTTGCTGAGGAACCTCATCTCCCAGCACTGCCGGGCATCAAATTATATACTTGTTCTCTTGTTTATTGTCTGTCTCTCCCCTAAGACCCACAAGGTAGTGGCTGAGGCTCTTGTTCACAGCTGATGCCCTGCCCTAGGACGGTTGCCTGGTGCTTTAAAGAAAAAAAAAAAAAAGACTCTTTTAGCCCCCATCTGTTCTGGGTGCCAGTGGGAGAATAGCCCAGCAGGAGGGGCAAGTAAAGTCCTGGTGTGACAGGGCCTGCATGAGGGGCGGCTAGCACAGTGTGTGGTGCGCGCCAGGAGAGGGATGCAGAGGTGGCAATTAAAGCTGGGGTTTCAGGAATAAGCAGGGACTTGCTCAGCAATGGCAGGGGAAGCCTAGCATTTCAGGCAGAAGGCACAGCTGGGAGGGGCCCAGAGTCAGCGTGTTGGGGATCTGGGAGCACTGAGAGATGGGGCCAGATCAGAACGGAGATTGAGGCTTCCGTGCCATCTGAAGGCAGTTGTTCTTTATTTTAAAGCCAACCCTGGAGATTCTTTTGTTTGTTTGTTTTTTGTTGTTGTTGTTTTGGTACCGGGGATCGAACTCAGGATCTTGCACTTTTGAGGCAGGAGGCAAGGCAGGCAGCGGAACCACTGAGCTAAATCCCCAGCCCTCTTCTGTTTGCTTTTTGAGATAGGATCTCCTTATGTATTCCAGGCTGGCCTTGAACTCACTGTGTAGTCCAAGCTGACCTTGTAGCAATCCTCCTGCCTCAGCCTCCCGAGTACAGGGATTACTTGCCCAGGTGCTTGGAGGTTTTAAGGAGATTATAACACTAGGCCTTTCTGAGTGGTAGCCCTGGCAGTGTGTGCTTACAGGTCTGGGTGGAGGGCAGTGAGAGCCGTTTGGTGCTTCTCAAGGGGGACAGAGGAACTGAAGCCCTTTGGCTGTAGAAGTGGCTGGGCCTTAGGAGCTGAGGTGAAGCTGCAGCATGAGTTGACGGTGACTACAGGTTCTCCTGCTAAGGGGCTTAAAGACTCACTGTGGCGGGGTATGCTGGGGCACACCTGTAATCCCAGCACTCTGGAGGCTGAGGCAGGAGGATCGCTGAGCGTTCAAGGCCAGTGTGGGCTACATAGTGAGTTCAAGGCCAGCTTGGACCCTGTCTCCAAAAAAAAAAAAGACTTGCTGGACACAGTGGTATATGCCTGTATTCCTAGTACATAGAAGGCTGAGGCAGGAAGATCAGATATTCAAGGCCAGCCTGGACAACTTAGCAAAATCCTGTCTCAAAATTTAAAAATGCTAGGGGTGTAGTTTGGTGGTAGGGCGCTTGCCTAGCATGTGGAAGACCCTGAGTTAAGACCCTAGTACTGGAGAAACAGATGCTCTGGCAGCCTCCTCTCCCCCAGGTCTCATGGTAGGTCATGTGTGACAGGACACCTGGTATGACAGTGCTGGCTCTGACGGGGTCACCAGGCTGCTCTGTCTGTAATATGTCCAGAACTTGTAGAAAACTGGTTGGAAGGGCAGGAGGCTCGATCACCTGTCACATTGGGCAGCAGAGAGGGTGTGTTAGAAAGGTCACAGCCCTTGCCTCTCCCAGGCAGTCCCGGTGGTCCCCACAGCCTTTCATTGCAGCTGGGGAGCCCTGGTTTAGCTGGTGGAGCCCCAGGGCCCATCTCTCACCTGACTGGCTGTTACCTGCTTGGTCCTCCAGGCTCGCCGTGGTCAGCCTGGCAGCAGCTTGGTGGGTCTTTCCCAAGGAGCTTGGCACCTTATAGCCAGGTTGGGATGGGGCCTTGCCCCCAAAGCCCAGGACTTAGCCAGGGACATGGAAGCTGTTTCTTCTGCAGCCTCTCCTAAGTCCTGTGAGGCCAGGCCCTGGAGCCACGATGGTCCCAGACTAAAGGGAAGTAGAGGCAGGTGTGGTGGTCACCATTCTTCAGTCTTGGCTTGGGCATCCTTGCCACAGGTGGTGACAGGTGGGCAGAATAGAGAGCACACAGGACAAACACAGCCCCGGGGATTCCCGGCTCCTACCTCCGACAGGTATGCAGGGTAAGGCTGCCAGCCTCTATAGTCCCCTACCTTGGCTCTGGATGCCCACGCTGCGGCCCATGCCCCTTTCAGCCCACCTCCTTCACCTGAGGAGGAGATGAGGCTCCCTAGAAGGAGGTTGGGAAAGGTAGCCAGGTCAGGTGGCTCTAATTTCCAGCTGTCGCCATCCCCCCTTGCTGAGCCCTGCCATAGCTCCCTCTGCGCAACCGGACACCTTGGCCTGGTGAGGCCTCGATGTAGGCGCTGATAGGTGGGCTTAGAGCCATAGCAACAGGTGGCCGCCTCCTCCCTGCCTGCCTGCCTGGCCCATCCTGCTCACCTCCCTCCCTGTGGGCAGGAGCTGAGGCTGCAGCGGGACACAGCAGACACAGCAGGCAGGCGGGTCTAGTGGTGGTGCCCTCCGCCTGGGCAGTCAGGAAGATGCCAGGATGAGCAGCTTTGTCACTTAGGCGGGGCAGGTTGTCTGGCTTACAGGGCCCTGTAGACCATGCTGCAGCTGCGAGCCCCCAGGCCCCGGGGCTGTGCCCCCCTGGGCAGGACCTGGCAGGTAGGGCTTGCCCAGACCGAGGTGCCATGGTCTTTCCAAACAGACCTAGGGGTCCAGAGGCTTTTCTGACCCCAGCCTGGGGCCAGCTCACCTTTCAGAGTCTTCAGGAGGTGAGGGAGGGGCAGGAGTGGCCAGACCACAGGCCGATGGGGTGGGGTGGGCACAGTACTGATCCTGGTGGTGCCTGGGCTTGGTCAAGAAGCACCTGGACAGATCACTCATCCTGCTGCTCTGGGCTGCTTGCTGGGCTCCACAGGGGTCTCTTTGCAGGCCATGTCCCCTGCACCCCCCACCCCCTGTCTGCATGGAAGGGAGCTTGGACATCTGTGCTGTATGTGTCAGCCATCCAGCCCAGCCTCCTGGCTCCCAGAGAATGCCGGCTGTGGGGTAGGAGGCCAAGGCCTCTTTAGTGTTAGAGGGGCTGCTTGGATTTGGGGGTTCTTGGGCCCTTAGTACTCTTTGCTGACTTCTCAGCACACTTGGGCAGGGTGGGTGCAGCACCCCTTCCCCAGCCCAGGATGCTTTCTCGGGGCCTGACCCGCCTGCCTCCTCCTCTCCCCACAGCCTGATCTGCTCAACTTCAAGAAGGGATGGATGTCAATCTTGGATGAGCCAGGAGAGGTAGGAGGGCTGGAGTGGGAAGGAGAGGTTGGCTTGGGCTGCTGCAGGGTTTCCTGTGCCTGTCCAGCCTTGTAGAGACCGTGGCCTCTGGGAATGGGCGGAGCCAGGTGAAAATCTCAGGGGGGTGCATTTCCTGCCCAGGGAAAAGGGCTGGGCATGGTTGTGTGGGTGGGAGGGACAGCAGCTGCTGGTCATCTGCCTCCTGGGCAGTGTGCTTGTGCAAGTTACTGGGGTGGAAGTCTCCCTGCCCCTCACACTCCGCACGCCAGCCCCTGCTCCAAGTGCTTCTTGCCCCTCTTGTCTCATGATGACCCGGGCTGGGAACCTGAGGGTCTGAGGCAGGATGGCCTGTACAGAACATCTGATCCGAGACACCAGATTCCCAGACTCAGCCCCAAAGGTGGGGCTTGGAGCAGGGGCTCAGGAGTCTCACCATTGTGGGTCCACACAGCCTTCTCTAGGCCTCAGTGCCCCATCTGTTATGTGGGCATGAAGGGTAACAGGTAAAGATCGCAGTTGCAGAGATCAAGCATGTAAAGCTTGCTTACACACAGCCCTGATAACCACTGGGGACTCTACTCATTACCCTCCCTTTGCTAATGCATCTATCCTTGGAACCAGAGGGCATAGTGGCTGCTTCAGCACTGCCAGGCTGAAGCCTGAGAGCTGGAGCTGGCTTCCTGCCCACCTGGCCTGCGTGCGCCCCGCGGCTGTGCTCTGCATGCAGCCCACATGCTGGGCAGGGCCTCGAGCCAGAGGGAATCTCATTGTGTTTCCTGCCCACATGCTTTCTTCCCCCCAGCCCGCAGCCTTCCGTCCCTGCGTCCCTGCCGCCTGCCTACCATTGACTGGTGGCTGCTGTCCAGACTCACACAAGGGCTGGCGCCCCGCCAGTGACCCCTTCCTGGCCTTCCCACCCAGGATCCCTGGAGGGCAGAGGGATTATGGGCCCCACCCAGAACTGGCCATTACTCGTCCTCTTTCGAAGGGTTCTGGAATGTCCAAGCTGGAAGGGCCCGGGAGTGCAGTCCGCCCAGCTTCCGGTGCACAGACAGGAGGCAGCCCCTTGAGCCTCCATCCCTGCCAGGCCAGGCTGCACCTCGGGCAGCCCAGGGCTGGAACTTGAGGCTGCAGCTCCATCTCAGACCCAGAGTAGGCCAAGCCATTTGCCGTGGAACCTGCCCCTCTCTGCAGAGCCACTAAAGTTCATGCAGGCCAAGCAGGGTGGCCCTAAGGGACCATCCTCTTAGAACTTTCTCCAGCAGCCTGGTGCCTGTCCCTGTGCCGAGAGTACAGGAGACAAGCAAGGGCAGTAGGTACTTCTCACTTCACCGGATAGCTGTGCGCCGTCCCAATAGCCCTACTGCACAGGTCAGAAGACTGTAGGTCAGCAAAGTGGAGACGCTGCCTGAAGGCACACAGCTAGCAAGGGAACAGTCTTAGAAAGCATAGAAAGAAATAGTGTCTTTTTTTTTTTCCAGACAGAGTTTTACTATGTGGCCCAAGCTGGCCTCAAACTCACGGCAATCCTCCTGCCTCAGCCACCTGAATGCTGGGCTTACAGGCGTGCGCCACCACACCTGGTGTTGTTTTGAGATTATTTTGTATCTTTATTGAAGTTTGATTGATTGATTTGTGGTACTGGGGATTGAACCAAGGACCTCATGCATGCTAGGCAAGCACGCTATCACTGAGCTACACACCCCACAGTAGTGTCATTCTTGCATATGCAGGAAAACTACTGTGTCCAGAAGATGGAAACTTGAAAGAACCAAACAGAGGTTGGTGACAGCTTGGTGACACGGGGGAGCCCCATGTCACGCACTGACCCTGGCAGTGGATGGGCTTCCCTCGACTGGCATTCCAGTGAAGTGACCGGAGCTCAGAGGCAAGCTGAGCGGGGCATGTGTGGCATCGGGCTGATCTGCTTCCTTGCTCCTTTCCTACATGTCCTGCCAGCCTAAATTGGGCTGGAGCAGAGTTACCGCACACTAACACCCTGATTGTAAATCAGGTCACAGGGCCAGGCGTGGTGCCACGGGCCAGTAATCTCAGCACTCTGGAGGCTGAGGCAGGAAGCTCACCTCGAGTTTAAGGCCAACCTGAGACTCTTAAAAAAAAAACATTCAGAACTCCTCATGCAGAACGCAGGATCCACCTAGCAGATCAAGAAGCAGACCATGGCTAGCTCTGGTTCACCAGCCCTGGGCCTCTTTCAGGGCCTCTTTCCTGTCTGGACCTTTGTCTGACCACTGTGACAGTCTGGCAGGGTGGGGGCATATAGAAAAGACTTACAGAGTTCTAAGCATACTAAGTCCCTAACTTGCTAGAGAAGTGACCGTCCACAGGTCCTACCCCTCTCTGAGCTGCACCTGGAGAGCTGTGTGAGGAGCCTTGGAGATCTTCAGAGGGTTCTGGGAGCATCAGCAAATCAAAGAAGGGTCAGGGAGGGTGTGGTTGTGGAGAAGAGGCAACCCATGTCACAGGCACTGCCCCTGCGGCTCCAGGAGCTGAGGGAGGGGCCTCTTCAAGTTTGACTCTCCAGCCCGACTGTGTGCAGTGCCACCCCGGACTCCAGCACTGTCACACACACAGGCCCCTCATTCCTCCTGCCCGCAGTGCCTGCCCCTCACTCACACACCTCTCTTCACAGTGGAAGAAGCACTGGTTTGTGCTGACAGATTCAAGCCTCAAGTATTACAGAGACTCCACCGCTGAGGAGGTGAGGCAGCTGGTGCGGAGACCCCTGGGAGGGCTGGATGTCCTGGCTGGGGTCAGCGATGTGGGTCTCCCCAGGACCTGTGTGGACCACGATGGGTCCCTCTGCTCTAGGCAGATGAGCTGGATGGCGAGATCGACCTGCGCTCTTGCACAGATGTCACCGAGTATGCAGTGCAGCGCAACTATGGCTTTCAGATCCATGTGAGTCTGCACGCAGCCAAGGTGCCTGGGGAGAACACAGAGCCAGGGAGCTCTTCCAGGGTGGAGGAGGGGCCCCACCCTGCCCTCAGACCGGAAGTAGAGCTGCCCTCGCTGGGGTCTACAGTGGGGAGGGAGTGTGGGGCTGGCCACATGGGCAACACGTTCATGGTATGGCCTTGCAGACCAAGGACGCTGTCTATACCTTGTCGGCCATGACCTCGGGCATCCGGCGGAACTGGATCGAGGCTCTGAGGAAGACTGTGCGTCCAACTTCAGCCCCTGATGTCACCAAGTATGTCCTGGGCTGAGCCCCTGGGGGAGGGGCTGCCCTCATCAGGGCTCTCAACTGGGGGCCCGGTGGCCGTGCTTTCTGGGCCTCAGTTTCTCTAGCAGGAAAAGTGGAAAAGAGCAGTAAGCATTCTCGACATTGATGCAGAAATTCATTAAGGATTTTGGGTCTGCCCCACCATCCCATCACGGCCCCCCACATCCTGAAGGAGTAGGACAGGGCCCAAGGTTGCCATAGGAGAGGGCAAGCAACTGTGTTACCTGGTGGCAGAGTGCCTTTGGGCTGGGGCTTGCAGAACAGAGTATGGCGTTGAAGGGGGCTGAGCAGAGTGACCCACCTGGCCACACCTGGGTGTTCGGCCTTAGGCCAGTGGCTTTCCCGTCTAGTGTCAGAGTCCTTATCTGTCACGTTGGCTGTTGTGCCTGCACGTGTGCGACATGGCCAGAGCCCTTTGTAAGGACCGTGACTTAGTATATAGGCACTGCTGCTTTAATAAGTCCCAGATCAGTGGCTTAAGCAAGACAGGTGAGTAATTCATTTTCAGGCCCGGACAGAGGTGTGGAGCCCAGCCTGTGGGCGTCCCTGTGGTGCTTGGCTCTCCGCTTGGCCTCTGGCTGGGAGGGTGCCGCCCGGGCTCTCCTGGAGTCCCCACTAGGAGCCAGGATGGCCCAGCCCCTCAGAGGGAGCTGCCTGTCATGGCTTGGGGGAATGTGGTCACATGGCCACAGGCCACTCTTGGGCTCTGAGAAGTGCAGTTTCTGGCTGGTAACTGTGTCCCCAGCTGTTGTGGAAGGAGAGAGCTGCCATGATCATTGAGTCTCAGCAGCCTGTGCTGTGTGCACCCAGATGTCACTGTCCTCACCCTGTCGGCAGTGACTGTTACTGTTCCCGCCATTGTGGGTCTCCTGAACTCAGGCCTTTGTCTCATACATTTTTTTATTTCATACTTTTTTATTTTTTCATTTGCAGTCTTGGGATTACACCCAGGGCCTTCACACTGAGCTGCCTCCCCAGCCCTTTTTTATCTTCTGTTTTGAGTTTTGAGACAGGGTCTTGCTTGGTCACTTTTAAGTTGCCTGGGCTGGGCTCAAACTCAGCTTGCAGAGTCCTGGGATTACAGGTGTTTCACACTTTTAACAGTAACATGCTGACCATGCTGGCACAGGGCTGCTTGATTGCTTTGCACACATTTGTTCACTCAGCCGTCGCCTTTCTGCTGTGTGGAAGGTGCTGTTCCACGTTACAGATGAGGCGACCGAGACTGAGCGGGGAAGGGGGGCAGACTCAGGGGCCCTGCTGGAAAGTGGCAGAGCTGGGATGTCTCCAGGGTCATCTGACTTTGATGCCACAGCTCTCAGCCGTGAGGGTGGGCTGCTTGCCTGCTGGGCTCCATGTGCACGGGGCCTGGCACCCAGGTGCCCCCAGAAGTGCTCTCGAGTGGCCTAGGTCCCCCTGACGCATTCCTGCTGGTGCCTTAGGCTCTCGGACTGCAACAAGGAGAACACGCTGCATGGCTACGGCCCCCAGAAGGGCTTCCTGAAGGCGGGGGAGCAGCGAGCCGGCTCAGAGGTTGGCGGGCGCAGCGGCCCCCGCAAGGCAGACGGGCCCCGGCAGTCCCTGGACTATGTAGAGCTCTCACCCTTGACCCAGGGCGGCCCACAGCGGGCCTGCACCCCAGCCAAGCAGGAGGAACTGGAGCGGGACCTGGCCCAGCGCTCTGAGGAGCGTCGCAAGTGGTTCGAGGCCACCGACAGCCGGGCCCCTGAGACTGGCGAGGCACCACGCCGGGGCCTGGGTGCCCCACTGACCGAGGATCAGCAGAGCCGACTCAGCGAGGAGATCGAGAAGAAGTGGCAGGAGCTGGAGAAGCTGCCCCTGCGGGACAACAGGCGGGTGCCGCTCACCGCCTTGCTCAACCAGGGCCGCAGTGAGCGCCGAGCGCCCCCGAGTAACACCCACGAGGCCCTGGAGAAGGAGGTGGGCTCCTCACACCCATGCTTTGCCTTGCATACCCACAGTGACAGGGAGCTCACTCCTGATCTCTCACCATCTCGTACCTCAGGCTCCTTGTGAATAGGAATCTTCTTCCCAGGACCATGGTGTTTTTTTTCCTGCCTTGCTCTACCTTTAATAGCCACACAGAAAGGAAATAGGAAGCCAAGGGCGGGGCTGCTTATCAGGCATCTCCTCTATGCCTAGTGTGATCCCACCTAGGAGACCTCACTTTTACCAATGGGGAAACTGAGGCTCAGCGAAATTTCCCCAGCTGCCATCACAGGTTGGTGACTGTAACTGCAGTGTGCGGTGCCCAGCCCCATCTTCTTGTTTCCAGGCCGAAGTTTTCCCAGGCAGGATATCCCTTTTTTTTTGTTGTTTTTTTATTTTGTTTTTTGAGACAGGGTCTTGCTCTATAAATTCAGATTGGCTTTGAACTCACTGTACAGCCCGGGCTGGTCTAAACTCACGGCGGTCCTCCTGCCTCAAGCCTCCCAAGTGCTAGATTACAGGCTTATGCCACCATGTCCCTCTTGCCCACCCCTCCATCTAGGACTCATTGCCCTTCTCAAACCAGAGCTGTTCCCAGCACAAGGGACCTGGGCTTGTACCGGTATGAAGCTGGGAGCCCGGGCTCCTCGGCGCCCACTGACCTGGTCTCCCCTATAGGTGCAGTCTCTTCGTGCCCAGCTGGAGGCGTGGCGAGTCCGTGGGGAGGCTCCTCAGAGCACACCCAGGCCACCAGAGGACAGCCACATCCCGCCAGGCTACATCTCCCAGGTAGGGCTGAGGCGCTGTCTCGTGGGGTCGGTGCGGCTTCTGGTTGCTGTGTTCTTTGAAAACGGCTGGCATTTTGGCAGCCCTTGCTGTGTGCCGGGACCCGTGTGTGGTAGTGGTGGCGTTTAACATGCATCATCTCATTTAATCTCCCCGCAGCTGGTGGGCATGATCACTGTGCCCATTTTACAGACAAGGCCGCTGAGCTCTGAGAGGGTATGTGACTTGTCCGAGGTCACCCGGCCTGCAGGTGTCAGAGGTGGGATTTGAGCCTGGGTCCAGCGGACTGCAGAGCCTGTGTGTGAGTCCCCGTGTGACACTGCACTTGGACCCCTTCCCCTGCACCACCCTGGGGAAGTGGGGAGCCGGTGGCCCTGGGGGTCACACCCACCAAGCACAGGGAGACCCTGCCTGGGCCTACCAAGGAGGCCTGCAGGACGTGCCAGCTCTCACGGCCCTAGGGAGCGAGCGCACGTCCACCTTGGACAGCGGTTCTCAACTGAGGCTGATCTTGTCCCCCAGGGACATTTGGCTCTGTCTGGGGCCACTTTTGGTTGTCACCACGGGGACAGCTAGGTCTCCAGAAAAAAATACATGTGTGTGTGTACACAAATTTATTATAAATTTTCTGATATAAAAGATGTTTAGTATATAATTTACAAATAAAACATAAAACACTTTTTTGTGAATTCCATGTAGCAAGTGAGTTTTTCTCAGAATGCTGCCAGTGAGTTTTCCACACACTTCTAGCCACAGCTAACTGACAGTGTGTAAGTCTGCTGCGTACCACGGGTGGACATTTTTGTTTATGCTAATGAGTGAGATGAGAGGGTAGGGAAACGTTTTTCTTGGTCAGTGTTGCGAGCAACTTCTCTGCTGAGTGATTAGGAATTTTCATTTTGAGATTAATATTCTATTAATGATGTTTCTGCATTCTTTTCATTCTATGTACAATGTAAAGGTTGTAAACACAACATGTCTTTAAGTTTCATCACACTCTTTGTGTTTTCTCGTCGCTTGCTTAAGTCTAGGGAATCTATAAAACAATAAATGAAGCCCTGATCTGTAATGTTATTAATTTCCTCAGTGTAAACGAACTTAAAATAGACTTAAGTACATAAAATAATAAAGTGCTCTGAAATAGGAAAAAGAAGTGCTGTGAAGTAGGGAGTGACAATTATAAATATATACATTTAATATTTTAAAATGGCACTGCAGGGCCAGGGATTTAGCTCAGTGGCACTGCGCCTGCCTTGCAAGTGCAAAGTCCTAAACTTAATCCCCAATAGCGCCCCCCCAAAAAAAATTCACTGGGTGTTAGTGGCACACACCTGTAATCCCAGCATTCAGGAGGCTGAGGCAGGAGAATCACCTCGAGTTTGAGGCCAGCCTGGTCTACATACTGAGCTCAAGACTAGCCTAAATTACATAGCAAGACCCTGTCTCCGATAAAATAAAACCTTAAAAAGACCTCGCTTATCAACCAAGTCACAAAATTTCTAAAAATTTGAGTCACTTGCCTGCTGTCAGCACACGAATTGCCCAAAGAAGGAAAGAATGCAGGGATCCCCGGCCCTGAGCAGTGAGATTCTTCAGAAGTTTCCGGGGGTGGGATAGTCACAGTGACAGGGGAGGGGCTCTAGGACAGTTTCCCAAGGGCAGTGCCCTGTGAGTGGGGACATTGGCTGTGGCAGGACAAGAAGGCATGTTGGCACCTGTGGTAGTCATCCAGGGACAAGCTGAGTGTCATTCCATAGCCCTTAGGAGGTCACCAGCGAAGTAGGAAGGTGGCTTGGGAGTGCAGGAGCCTCAGGAGAGGGAAAGGCCCAGGTCTGAGGAGCTGGGCCATCGATGGAGTGGGGTAGTCCGCGGGGCATCACAGGAAGGGTTTAGGACTTGGTGACTGGGTCCTGGGGACATAGGGGCCTTGAGGCTGAGGCTGCCACACCATAGGGGTTGCTGAGGGCCAAGGAGAGGATGGGCAGTCCAGTGGAGAGGGCAGGGACAGTCGGGACCTGGGGGCCCCTGGCCTTGGGCTGGGCCTCTGCAGGAAGGCTGGGCCCATACGGCAGCTTGGCTGCTGGGAAGACCTCTGAGGCCCTGCCCAGGGCTTTCCGGCCAGGCCAAGCTCGCACTCGCACCGCTGTCCCCTCTCATAGCTCTGGGGTGCCTTGGGGCACTTCTCCAGGGTCCGTCCCTTCACTGTTATCAGAGCAGCTCCCTCGCCTGCTTTGCTGTCAGAACCTGCTTTCCATTGCATTTGGAGAAAGGTTTCTGGCATTAAAGTGAAATTTGCAAAGCACTGCTCTGGCTTCGCTACTTATGGATGGGGAAACAGGCCCAGGGAGTGGATGTGACCCTGTGAGCTATAGCCAGACCTGGACTCCAAAGCCGAGAGCACTGTGTCCTGTTAGGTCTGGGTGGGTGGGGAGGGAGAAGGAAATGGTCTGGAAATATTTGGAAGCAGAGCAGAGAAGCAGTCACAGGAGGCACGGAGCTAAGGTGACTGGAATTCCACGGACCCTGAGAAGGTGATAGCTGGTGCCCAGGCTGCCTGGCCTAGTGTCTCAGGTTGAGTCAGAGCCCTCTTACAGGGCTGGGGGGGCCTTTCCATTGCAGGACAGTTGTTGGGAGCTGGGGCTTCTCACACTGGGACCCCAGAGCCTTCTCTGACAAAGTGACTCTTCCCATCTCACGTGGGAGGCTGGCATTTGTCATCTACTTTGACATCTGCCTCATGTCAGAGGTGTGCCCTTGTAGGACTCCTGAGCCCCTTGGGAAGTCGGTCAGAGCAGCCCCTGGCTTGCTTAGAGACCTCCCTCTTCCTGGGCTGATTCCCACCTCCTGCCCTTACCCCTATGCCTCATCAACCCCACCCGCCACGTGCCAGCACTGGCCCTTTAAGACTGCAGGCCGCACCCCCTCAGCACTGGGCTGCCTGACCTTGGCCCTTCAGGGAACCTCCTGGGTGGTCTTCTGAGGCCCCCTTGACACACTGCTGAGGCTGAAGCTCAGAGAAGGCAGGGCTTGTTCAGATCCGTTGTGGGGATGCAGTCTCTGGGGCTCCAAAGCCACATCCTAAGAGGGAGGACAGGCAAGGAGGCCCAGTGAGCAGACAGCCCTTCCTTCCCTCCAGACAGTCTGCAGGTGAGCGGGGAGCAGGCCCTGCTGGGGGTACAGTCCCTTCTCAGGCCCTCTATGCCTCGGTTTTTTCACTAACTCTTTCTCTTCCCTTTTTAATGACTTTAAAATTTTTTTTTAGACAGGCTACGTAGCCCAGGCTGACCTCAAACTCACCAGCTCTTAAACTTTTTTTTTTTTTTTTGGTGCTACTGGGGATCGAACTCCGGACCTTGCACTTATGAGGCAGGCAGCAGAACCACTGAGCTAAATCCCCAGCCCCAACATTTTTAAAAACTATCTGAGAAACACATTGACACTTTCAAAAGTAACTCCAGAGCCACCATGCCTGCCTCTCACAAGCACAAGGTCCCGAGTTCAATCCCCCCGTACAGAAAAAAAAAAAAGTCACTCAGAGCTAGGTGGCACATGTCCGAAAACCCAGCCCTGGGGAGGCTGAGGCAGGAGGATCCTCTCAAGTTCAAAGCCACCCTGGGCTACATAGTGAATTCAAGGCCATCCTGTCTCAAAAAAAATCAAAAGTAACTCAGACAAAGGGATGGGGATATAGTGCAATGGTGGAGCGCTTGCCTAGCAAGTGCCAGGACCTGGGTTGTTGCCAACGTCGAGAATTCACATGACATGGGCGCGCTTCTCCCTGCCTGCTCCGCCCCAGCCTCACTGCAGTGACCATGACTCCACACACATTAGCTTCCCGTGGCTGCTGCAAGGCCATCATGATCAGCGGCTCACGTGACACGAAGGCATTAGGCTGCTGAGCTGTGGCCGGAAGCCCGGCACGCCTCCTCCAGGCCGGCTGCACATCTGCAGGACTCTGCTCCTTTCTGCACACTCCAGCTCGTGGTCCCGTCCAGCATCCTCAGGGCCTGCACGGAGGAAGTCCAGGCCTCGTCACTTTGTCACTGACCGTCCTTTCCCTTGGATTCTTGTCTTCTGTCCTCCCAGTCCATTTTAAGGACCCCGTGGTTTCCTGTGGCCCCACCAGATCGTCTGAGATAATCTCCTCATTTGGAGTCAGCGGATTAGCAGCCTTAATTCTTTTTGCCATGAACGTGACATGGTCATGGGTCCCGGGAGTAGGGCGTGGATATCTTCGGGAGGCTGTTACTCTTCCTCCCACAATCTCCTTCCATACTTTTCCTGTGTTTTGCTCCCCGATTGAGACCACACCACGTGTATCACTGGGAGCCAGCGTTCATCCCCTGGCCTCTTGGACACCTGTCCAAGGTGGTACCTGCATCTTTTAACTGCAGTCCAGGGTGCTTGGTTGGGCTTGATCCCATCATTTATTATTTTGCGACTTAGCTTGATTGTAACTGTGTTTCCAACATTGCCTTAGGGAATTCCCTTGTCCCGAGTCTTGGAACTCACGTGACTTCTTCGGCTCACTCCTAGGAGTGGGCCCGCTGGGTTAAAGGACAGGGTTGTTACACTTCAAGGGAGCTGCCACATGGTTCCCATGCACCTGTCACAGTGGGCATTCCCAGGCTTCCAAGTGCTTTCCATCCTGTGTATTAAGTCATCGAGCTCAGTGACTAAGCACCTGCCACGTGTACCCTGGCCTGGACCCAGGACTCAGCTGGGTATTACAGTCGGGCAGAGGCAAAACCTTTGGAGGCTGGGGAGAGGGTACCCAGAGACGGCTAGGAGGGCGATTTCAACTGGACTCCAGGCAAAGTAAACCAGCCAAGGAGAGACCGAATGAAAAGAATGTTCCGGGCAGGGGGAAGAGCATGAGCTACCGCTCAGAGGCCTGAGCATGCCTGGAGTTGTTTTGTAACTGAGGCTGCTTGGTGGAAAGGGCCAGGTAGGAATGGGGCCACAAGGGCCACCACAGAGCAGGGCTCTGACCTTGCAGGATAAAGCTCCAAAGGGTTGGGGCAGGATGGTGGTGGGTGAGGTTTGGGGATGGGGCGGTGGGGGCAGGTGCAGGCTGGTGGCCCGGTTCTGGGGACACCTGTGAGCCTGGCTCTGAGGCTCCTCGCCTTGCAGTGGCGGCCCTGACGCCCAGCCTCTGGCCCGCAGGAGGCCTGTGAGCGCGGCCTGGCAGAGATGGAGTCCTCCCACCAGCAGGCGATGGAGCAGTTGCAGCGACACCACGAGCGAGAGCTGCAGCGGCTGCAGCAGGAGAAGGAACAGCTGCTGGCCGAGGAGACGGCGGCCACAGCCTCCGGTGAGTACCAAGGAGCATTGCGGGGTGTTGGGGTCAACCTAGGTTGGAAGCCAAAGGGAAAGTGAGGCAGCAAGACCTTGCCACAGTGGGTTTACTCCTATCCCTCAGGGGTCTGCACCCCACTCCGGGACAGTGGCCTGTCTCTAGCACACGAGCCCCACTCTGTGCCCCGCACATGCTTCACAGGAGCCTCCTTAGTCCTCACAGCCCCCCCACCAAGCAGTGCTTTGCACAAGTGAGGAAGCCAGGCCTCAGAAGCGTCACTGACTTGTCCCAAAGGGTAGGGCAGGTATGGGGGTGCGTACCTGTAACACCAAAGAGTGCAGCCTGGAGGTGGCAGAGCTGGGGTCATAACCAGAGCCCTCTGGCTGCGACCGCTCTGAAATCCCGCCAACACCCACTAAGCCAGAAATAGGAAATGCCCGAGATGCCTGCTGACCTCCCCCAAACCCTGCTGTCTTCAGCATACGTCCTGCGTGTGCCCGGCACATTCTAGGCATCCCCCCAGGGATCTGCAGGCTACCAGAGGGCACGAAAGATGTCCAGAGCCCACATCCCGCCAGCACTGGGCAAGCACTTCATTCACTTAGCCCATGGTCCCTCCTGCGCAGCTGTGGGCCCCTGTGCCTACGTATCGGGAAGGTCAGCAGTGCAGGCTGCAGGTAGTGGTTACTGTGCCCCAGCAGGGGCCAGGTGTCACCCTGTAACCAGTACTGAGGCTTCACAGGGAGATGGATGTGGAACAAAGACCATGAGTAGCCTCTTGTCCCTGAGCCCTGGGGATTGCCCACCAGAAGGGTGATGAGAAACTCAGTGCTCAGAGCTTTTTGGGTTTTGAAATTATGGGTAAGCCAGGCATGGTAGCTTATAATCTTAGCACACAGGAGGCTGAGTCAGGAGGATCACCACAAGTTCAAGGCCAGCCTGGGTTACATAGAGTCGGAGGCCAGCCAGAGAACTACTTAGTGAGACACTGTCTACAAAACAAACAAACAAACAAACAAAAAAAACGTGTGGACAAAACTATGGATGAGGATTTAATTATTACTGCAACCCTGTGTGATGTGAAAACAGCTCTGTCCTTGGGAGCCCATAGTCTGAGCATTGGAGCTACTGTGCTGGTCTTCACTCTGCTGGGCCTTGTTGTAAATGTGCTGCATGCAGCTGCCAGTCATGCCCTAGACAGAAGGTGCTTTTGTCCCCCTTGTCATATAAGGGTCCTGAGGCACAGAGGGGTTAAGTGACCTGGACAGTCAAACTTGTACCAAATGCACAGCCCAAGCTTGGGGCAAAGCAGATAGGTGTTCAGAGGCTCTGCAGGGAGCGCGCCCACTGTGGAGCCTTAACCAGAAGCCACTGGCAGCGAGAGGTGTCAGTGGAAGGACACTAGATGTCTCCCCGGGGCAGTGCCTCCTCCTGTGATGGGCAGAGAGCACTTCCCCAAAGGCACTCAGTTCAGGCCCCGGTCCAGTGCTCTTTGCACCTGGCTTCCTGTCCTGTTCACCTTAGTGTTGCTCCTCTCTGCCCTCCTCTGCCTCTTCCCTCTTCCTTGCTCCCAGCTATCGAGGCCATGAAGAAGGCCTACCAGGAAGAGCTGAGCCGGGAGCTGAGCAAAACCCGGAGTCTCCAGCAGGGCCCCGACGGCCTCCGGAAGCAGCACCAGTAAGGCAGTATCTGGGCCCTGGGTTGTTGGTTGTGGGCTTCTGGGCCAGGGTGGGTGAGTTGGGGACTTTGCTTAGGACCTAGTGGGTCCCCCAGCTGAGATCCCATCCCAGCCCCATGAAGGAGCCAGGGCCCGGGGCCTCAGGCAGCCCTGGCCTGGCCCCTACCCTTGTCTTAGCTGTCTGTCTCCACTCCCTTACCTCTGTGAGTCCCCTAGAGCTGGGCTGCAGTGTCACTCCTGCCCAGTAGATGTCTCTCCCATCCCAGCCCTGTCTGGACTGTGGGTCTGTAGGGGATTTAGAGGACACTCCTACCGCCCAGAGAGGCTGTCCCTGCTCACAGTCCACCTCGGCCGGGGGCAGACCTGCAGGGGGATCCCAGGGCCTTGGTGGGTTGCAAGAGCCCACCACAGCCCGGCTGTGACCCAGGTCCGACGTGGAGGCGCTAAAGCGGGAGCTGCAGGTGTTGTCTGAGCAGTACTCACAGAAGTGCCTGGAGATCGGGGCGCTGACACGGCAGGCCGAGGAGCGGGAGCACAAGCTGCGGCGCTGCCAGCAGGAGGGCCAGGAGCTGCTGCGCCACAACCAGGTGGGCCTTGCGGTGGACTCAGGCCCGCCTCCAGCCCTGACCGGTCCTCCCGCCCTAACCGTCCCTCCCTGCAGGAGCTGCATGCCCGCCTGTCAGAGGAGATTGACCGACTGCGCAGCTTCGTGGCCTCGAAGGGCACCAGCAACAGCTGTGGGCGTGGCAGTGAGCGGAGCTCCTGTGAGCTGGAGGTGAGCACCCTGTCTGGGCTTGGAGTCCGCTGCATGGGGCTCAGGGTCCGAGGAGCTGCCCTGCCTGTCCACCCCCCGCCCCCGGGCCTGCTTCCCCTGGTCAAGTCAGCAGCCTGAAGGGCTCACATTTAGGGCCCCAGTGTGGCTTCCTTTTTATCCCCTCACCCCAGTCTTGGCCCTGCTGCTGCGTTGGGGCTACAGCAGGGATGACAGGTCAGAGCGGGACCCCAGGGAGTCTGCAGGGTGTGGTTTCTCAGTGCAGGTTTTGTTGCTGTCTGGGGCTCCAGGCAGGGAGAAGCCAGACCGTGGGTGCTGCGGGCCTCAGGAGCCGCAGCCTGTGGCCCTGGGTCAGCCTACCCTGTCTCCCCAGGTGCTGCTGCGGGTGAAGGAGAATGAGCTTCAGTACCTGAAGAAGGAGGTACAGTGCCTCCGGGACGAGCTCCAGACCATGCAGAAGGTGGGTGTGGGGGAGCACTCTGGGGCCCAGCCTGAGAGCAGCACCCCTGCCTCAGCTTCTCTTCTGCTCTCTTCATGCCTCCCACAAAGGTAACACTGTGCCCAGTTACTGACAAGGAAATGTAGACCAGGAAAGGGGAAGTGACAGACCACACTATTCTATTTATTCAGCATTGTTTAATTTTCTTATTATTGTTGAGCCCTACCGTATGCTGGGCGCCACTTAGGTGCTGGGGAATATACCTGCGGGCAGACGGACCTGAATCCCCTCCCACATAGTGCATGTGATCCAGTCGGGACTGGGTCACTCTTGGCTGCCCAGTCCTTGACCAGTTTGGGGCAGGAAGTGGCAGCATTGGTGGCTGTGAGTGGCACTGTGGTTACCGCCCTTAGTGAGCAGACAATGTTTGTTCAAGCAAAGGCATGAGCCTTGGGTCACTCTCTTCCTTTCGCCTCCCTAAGCCCCAGCCTCTCCCTCCAGCAGGATGAAAGTGACAATTAGCCCTAAGCCCAGCATCACCAGGAAGTGCTGGGAGGGATAGGCCCAGGACTGGGGGCTGCAGAGGGCCAGGCCACTCTGTGCTGGCCAGCAGGGAGCAGAGAAGACATGGTCGTCCCCTCCCCGCCCCCCAGGACAAGCGCTTCACCTCGGGAAAGTACCAGGATGTATATGTGGAGCTGAATCACATCAAGACTCGGTCCGAGCAGGAGATTGAGCAGCTGAAGGAGCACCTGCGCCTCGCCATGGCCGCCCTGCAGGAGAAGGAGGGCACGCGCAACAGCCTGGCGGAGTAGAGGTGGGCGCCTTGGACGCCGTGAGGCCTGGACCCACCCACACCTGTCCCGCAAGGGGCTTCCAGTGCTGTGTCTTTGCTCTGGGAGGAGCAGTCCGCCTCAGCCCTCAGCATCCACCCTCGTCTCCCAGGTCTCTCGGTCCACCCAGCTGCAGTCCTTTCAGCCAAATGGGACCAGTGGCCTCCTTTCCTGACAGATGGGAGTCAAACACCGAGCTTCCTCCCCACCCTCTGTGGTCCGCAGGCGCGTGTGCACCTGCCACACACACAGGTACACACAATCACGCGCATGCACACACACACACACACTCGGCATATCTGAGCATGCCCCTCGCACTGGGTCTTACCTTGCACCTTCAGGATTTTCTATGTGAAGAGATTTTTATATAGATTTTTTTCCCAAACACTTTATACTTTTTGAAAATGCTAACCCTGGTGGCCTGTGTCTCCACACTGGCTCTGCTCTGTCTCCAGCCTCTGCTTGGCTTCTGTGCAGTGGCCCTGGCAGTGGACACTGCCCAGGAGGGGTGGGAAGCCAGCCCCCTCCTCCCACCCTACCTCCTACTAACAACTTCCTGCCCTGGGTGGACCCACACCCAGTGGTTATGGACAGAGGGGCGGAGGGAGCCAGCAGTCCCGTGTCCCCTCTGAGGGGCACTGGATGTGGATCCGCTGGTGTCACCCATGAAGGCTCCTCTCTCCTCTGGGAACCTTCTTAACTTAATAAAACATTCCTTTGGCTCAGATGTCCTAGATGGCCAGGCAAGGTGGGACGTGGAGATTGGGGTTTCTTATGGTGTCTTCCAGCTCGCACCCTTTCCTTCCTGATATTGGTGACTGCTGGTGGCTGTGGGCTGCTGAGAATCTAGTTCTTCCACAGGCCAGGGACTGTGACGTTCCTGTGTGGTGCCAGGGAGTCCAGCCCACCCTGACCTACTGAGTCAGTGTGGCTGTCATGTGTCCCAGTGAGTCAGGCCACCTCATTGCCAAGAGGCCTTGAAGCAGGGCCCTGATCCCAGGCCTTGATAAGGGGGCTGGAACAGGGGCTGCCCTTGACCATGGCCTCGGCAGGTCCCCTCCTGTGCTGGAACCTCAGGTGGGTTTTTCTTCCAGGCCTGGCCGAGGCCCCCAGGGACAGGTGTCCCATCATGGCTGGGTGTCAGTCATGGTCACACATGGGGCTGAGCCACAGAAACACAGTGGGTCGGGTCCCAAAGGCTGTGGGACCTCCGAGGAAACCCACACTGGCCACAGCTGCTTTTGGGAGCAGCTTTGAAAGAAGAGTTTTCCACATGGGAAAGTCACGAGGGCCATTGGAGCAGAGGGAACAGCAGCAGAAATCCCAAGCATCACTGGTGCATGCTGGGAAAGACCTGGGGCAGTGATGGCACAGCATCAGGAATTAAAGCTCCGGGTTTACTGTTCCACCAAGGGGATGCAAAGGAAGTGTGGGTGGGGTGGAGAGGGACACCCACAAGCTCTTCACTTTTAAAAGGAAGGGAGGCCTTCAGAAAGCAGTGGCAGAAGTCTTCACTCTGGGCTCTCGTCTCAGCCACGTGCTGCAAGTGAGAGAAGCCAGGCTCCCCAGGCTGTCCACCCACCCAGCCTTCCCCGGGACTCCCTGTCCTGGAGGAGGTCTCCGAGCCACCGGGAGATGAGATGCCTGCAGTTGGTAGCACCACACCCTCAGTCTGAGGCCAGGGCCCGGGCACCCCCCACCCAGCTCCCACCCTCCAGCTTCAATCCCTACGTCAGCCCATCACACCTGCTCTGGCAGCGGCTGACTCACTGGCCTCCCCACTCCCACCCTGTCTCCAGGGCTGCCTGAGTGAGCAGGAAAAAAAACAGGCCAACATGAAAAGCTGCTCCCCATCTGTCGTAAGTCATCAGGCACTTCACATTAAACAGACCGCAAGAGCCGGGTTATGGTGGCACATGCCTGTAATCCTAGCACTGAGGCAGGAAGATCGCAAGTTCAAGTTCCACCTGAGCAATTTAGCACCACCCTGTCTCAAAATAAAAAGAACTAGGGGTAAAGCTCAGGGCAAAGGCCATGGGTTCAGTCCCCAGATTCCCGGTATCACAAGGAGCCAGGAGTGGGGATATAACCTGGTGGGACAGCGCTTGTCTAGCAAGCACAAGGCCCTGAGTTTAATTCCTAGCATCGCAAGAAAGAAAAAGGACTAAGCCAGGGTTCTAGCAGGTGCCCAGCTAACCACCAGGGGAAAATTTCATCACCTCAGTTACACATGGAGTTTGGCCCACACACGTCACTGCAGGGTCTGGCCCAGGCCAACCAGCCCAGCTCCCACCCCAGCTGTTGCTTCCCTCCAGCTGACTCCAGGACATCGCTGACTGGCTTCCCCGTCCAGGCTGTGTTTCCCCGTTGCCATCTGTTAAAACAGGCAGTGCTGTCCCCAGAGGCCAAGTTGGAATTGAGCCACCAGCTGTTGTGTGGCCAACTCCCACCACCTTCATAGCTTAGAATAAGTTTCTGTTAGTGCTCCTGGCCCTGTGGGTGGAGCTGGCTCGCCTGGGCAGTTCTCTGTGTCCCTTCTGCAGCTGTGGTCAAACAGGCCAGGATGGAAGTCCCCCCACTCCCTGTCTGGATGTCCACGATGATGTCTTCCTTATAGGTCTGAGGTCTCAGCTGGGACCTACACAGAAGCCAGGCATGGTGGCACACACCTGTAGTCCCAGCCCTCAGGAGGCTGAAGCAGGAGAATCTCAAGTTGGAACACAGCCTGGATAAATTAATAACTTAAAAGACCTTATCTCAAAAAAAAAAGGGGGGGGTAGAGATAAAGTGCAAAGGTCTTGGGCTTGATCCCCAGTGCCCAAGAAGGAAGGGAGAGGAGAGGGAGAGCAGGAGGGAGAAAGAGATTGGGAGAGGAAACCTAGGTGTATACCTCGAATTAGCCTTGGGAACCTGTGGCATTGCCCCTACCACCTTAGTCAAAATGTCAGAGCCCAGGCTCCAGGAGACAGCACAGCAGCAGGGCCCGAATGCCAGAGGGGCGGGCCATGGGAGCATGGTCCCCTCAGCCTTCTACCCTCCACCCACCTCTCCAGCTCCTCCACCAGCCCTCTAGTGCTGTGCTTCCCCGCTCCGCCCCAGCTCTCCTGTCCTCTCTCACCCTTGGCTTTTGTCACTGGCTGGGCTAACCACGCGTGTCTGTATCCAGACCTTTCTCAGGACTCTGCACCTCTGTCAAGGCCACCCGAAGGCCTGTCTTCCCACCAACCTGCTCAACTTCTCTCCCTCATCCCTCTCCTCCCCTCCTCTTCCTCCCCTCTGCCCTCCCCCTTCCTCTTCCTCCTCTTTTTCTTTATCCTCCCCCTTTTTCTCCTCCTCCTTTTCTTTAGCACCAGCAGTTGCACCCAGGGCCTCTGCTATATCCCCAGCCCTTTTTAAAATTTTTGCTTATGCGATAGGGGCTTGCTAAGTAGCCCAGGCTGGCCTCAAACTTGCAATCCTCCTGCTTAGGCCTCAGAGCAATGAGGTTACAGGCGTGCGCCACCCTTACAGATCCTGCTCCTCTATGAGTGCTCAGACCTGAGTGTGCCTCTGGGTCAGGCCCTGGGGACACAGCATGGACCTAAGCATCCTGTCCTCAGGGTGTCTCTGTCTCCAAGGAGGGTGGGGGCTCCTGAGTGGGCACAGTCAGCACAGAGAGTGTGGCAGCCTGGCCTGGGAGTCGGGGGCTCTGGAAGGGAGCTGGAGCTGCGGGGACCAAGTGTCGGGTGCACCGCATCTCCCTTGGCTCCAGAGGTGGAAGGCACTGCCCAGTGGGGCTGTACACAGCTGCATTTGTTGGGAGCCTGGAGCTTCAAAGGGACCAGGGAGGCCAGTGGTGGCCTTATGTCCTGCCCTAACTTCCTGTCTAACCAGGGGCAAATGCTGGGGCATCTTAGGAGGCCATGCCCTGGCTCAGGCCAGAGCCCCAGGGGAAGTGGGACATAGTGGGCACGTGGGAGCTATCGAAGGCCTCAGATCAGCCCAGGGGCAGCAGGCAGCTGGAGGAGAGCAGAGGACAGAACCTCCAGGAAGAGCAGATCCCCAAGGTGGAGAAGGAGGAAAGGACAGAGAAGCTGGCATGGTGGCCTTCGTGAGCAGGTGCTAAGGACGGAGGAGGCCACCAGGGGCTCTGAATTTGTCAGCACCAAAAACGCACTTCTCCGATGCCCTGTGCCTTTGTGTCCCCGGGGCTTTTCCAAGCCATTGCTCTGTGTCCCCAGCACCCCACTGACCCCTGGACACTGTGGCCAGTCCAGTCCCCCTGCAGTGCCACTTCCTGTCACCAAGGAGGCTGACTTCATTCTGCCTCCATTTTCAAAAGCCAGGGCTGTCTCCCCAGCGCTGCCCCATGCAGGAGGTGTGGGGCCACCCACTCACTCTTGGCCCCAGGGGCCTGTAGGGAGGGGACCCTGCCAGCCAACAGCAGCACATCCTTGGAAAACTGAGAACACAGGCCCCAGTGGCTCTTCACGTTCACACCGCTGCCCTCCCTGACCCAGAGGCCTTCACCCAGCACAGGCACAGTGGGCAGGAGGATGTCCAGGGAGAGGCCAGGTCCAGGGCTCAGGCAGCCTTCTGTGGATACCCTGCCCCACTCTGCAACCTTGGGCAAGTTACATGGCCTTTCAGTGTCTCAGTTTCCTCATCTGTAAAACAGAAACAGTAGCTACCTTGCTGAGTGTTGTGAGGATTGAGAATGAGCTAATACTTTATGCAAAATGCTGAGAAGAGCGTCTGGTGCCTAGTTAAAATGTCATACAGGGCCAGGGATTTGGCTCAGTGGTTCTGCTGCCTGTCTCATAAGCACAAGGACCCGAGTTCAATCCCCGGTACCAAATTAGCTATTGTTATTGTGATTGTTGTGAGGACTGAATGAAATGATGCTGCATTTAAAATGCTACACACACACACACACACACACACACAAATGCTTGACACAAAGCCAGGCATGATCCTAGCACTCAAAAGGCTCAGGGCATGGCCCTAGCCCCCACAAAAATAGCAGAGGTTAGGTCTCCCCATAAACCCACTGGGAAGCCCAGCAGCCAGCCCGGGGGACTAATGGCAGTTTCCAGTACATGAAAGGGCAGGCTGTGACTTTGAGTCACTTGTGTCACCCCTGCGTCGCATTTGTATTTTACAAGGGCCGGGTAGACTCTGAGGCCCAGGAAGGGAGGAGCCTGCTTTGATGGAGCATCTGCCCAAGCACACTTTATAGACAGCACCCCTCTTCATGCTCAGGGCACGCTTTGAAGTACTCGTGACTCTCTCCATTTCACAGGGGAGGAAACCGAGGTCCCGAGAGGGACCGTGACTCACCCAAGGTCAACAATTCAAGAGCTAGACCTTCTGCTCAAGCAGCCTCCCCTGGCAGTAATAACATCCACTTTTGTTGGCCCCTGGCTGGGGCCACACCCAGTAATAAGCATCTCACACTCTGCCTCCTTTAATCCCCCGAACAGCCAGTGGGAAGGCAGGCCAATCATCCCCAGTCTGCCAGGGAGGGGCCAGGGCCCAGCTCAGTACCCTGAGTCACTTGGTTATGGAGCTGAGGTCTGGGTTTTGTCCGGACCTGGTCCAGGGCTTCTCGATGGAACCCACTTAGAAACCAAGTCCCTTAATTCCCCACCTTGGGGGCTGAACTTGGAGAGTAGGGAGGGCATTTCTACACCTCTGCCTCAGTTTCCCTGGAGAAGCAGAGCAATGTATAATCAAACCATCTCCTGAAGGGCTCAGGAAGGCTGCAGGCTCCCAGAGAGGGTAGGAAGGTATTTCAGGGGCACCCACGTGGTAGGCCGGCCCTCTGTCACTGTGTGCATAGTAGAGGGCCCGCCAAGCTTTCTGCCCAGAGTGCCCAACTCTCATGCCCATACCTTCACACCATTCCCTTAGTGCCAAGGCCAGACACTATCCGCTCTGGCTG